GTCCACGTATCACCTAGCCTATAACCCAAGTCCACGTATGTTTATCTAACCATTTTAGTTTGTCCACAAGCGTGTGCTTTTGGTCAGGCAATTATAAAAAAGACCTGTGCTTTGTCCCACGATTTTGCAGCAGCAAGAAGTATTCTTCCTTAAGTCACATGGAGAGGGGAGAGCCTTCAGGGGTGGCTGAATACTGGACGACTTGCCACAGAAAAAGAATAAAAGTGTGTAAATTTATATCTGGGCAATAAAAATAGAAAGTTATCATTTAGCAACACTTGCTGTTTGAACTTTTTCTTCTGAACTGGACAGGCACAAGGATAGCTTCAAGAATAGATCGCTTTGAAGCTATAAATTTTTCAAATTTTGATTTCTGGATGGCATTATTTTCTGAAGATAGGGCTGATACTTAATGCACAAACTGAGACTGTGCTGAGACTTTAAATTTGACTACATGATAGTCGATACACCCAAATATCGATCGTGGGAAAGGCTTTAGCCAGCGAACAATAAAAGGGGTTTCAGATTTCTGATAGTCGACATCAATCGGTACCGAATGACACGTCGGAGGTGCGCGTCCTAGCTATGTTTACCTCGGTCATTCGTAGAAATTCGAAGAAACTTAAATAGGACCTAACAAACGGCCAAAATAACGAGGCTACAATGGATAACAAAAAAATTACAAGAATCCTTTCTCCTGGGAAGGGTTCGTTTTGAGGGGTTTCTTCATACTTGAAAAAAATGGGAGAATTACAGAGCAGTAAAGTCGCATTTTCCAAATTTTTCATGGCTATTACGAGCTGAATAATCGTCCTTTTCTAAAATTCCTTCCAAAATTAAATTTACTTACAAAAGTATAAGATCTGTTCCTTATGGTTATGATAAATTAAAAAATTTGTTTAGAAGCCATTCTACACGCTGGCAATGTGAGATCTTTTTGTGCTTTGTATTTCCCGTCGTTCAAGGAAAAGCGTTTTCTGCTATCTTTGCCGTGTACTATTCACACCGTGCATGCGCAATGTGGTGGTTGAGGCTATGGGCCGTGCCGTTTATATACAAATACGTGAACCAGCCTACTCTGCGAGGCTCCAATGCATACCTGCGCTGTGACTCAAGTACTCGTACTCAGAGGGTGGAGTAGGGCCTTCCAAACGCTATTGTAGGGGGCCCATGGAACGCTTCATCCAGTCCTTATCGATATATCCCTGTTGAGAAATTTGAAGGTTTTCTGCTGACATGTAACTCATTTTTCCCTATTCAGAACCATGCATGCTGACAAGTGTCAATGCTTCAGCTGGCCCCGTACCTTATAATTGCATGCACTGCATCTGCATTGTGGAGTCCAACTGCAAGATGCCTAATCCTGTATGCCATATGGACGTTGGATCGCTGTCCTGTGGACCCTACCAGATCAAGAAAGCATACTGGAACGACGCCAGACTGAAGGGGGGTTCTCTCATGGGAGGTATGGGTAATCGCAAAATGTAACCTCAAGTTTTATATTGATATGCTGATTATGCCTCGTGTACAAGAAAAAGGCTAACCATGGCGTCTTAGCTAATTTGGATACCGGTACCAGACCCAATGATTCTGACGTCCTCGTCAAATAAAGGGTCTGTTATTTTTTTTCATTTTCACCGTAGCCTTGGATTTTCCGCTGTGGTAATGCTAATTCCCGTTTGAAAAGAGACCAGTGCCGAGTAAAATGGGCATGTTAGGAGATCTGAACCAGCCTGGGCGAGCAACACCAAAACACAAAATGACAGTGCCGTTATCTTAAGTAGTCTTTTGTTATGCTTCAAATTTCCCTTAAATAGGGCCTTTTCTAATGGGCTACACTCAACAACAAAATCTACCTTGCATGCACAATACAACAAATTATACCGTGACCCCGTGCAGTTTTCACGTTTCAAGCTTTGTTATTGGAAAGCAGTAGATATCTTTTGAAATGTATGCCATTGATAGTAGGCCTAACGGTCAGCACTGGCAAGGGTTAACTTTGGTAGTGTCATTTCAAGCCTCAATTTTCGTTGTACTGCCGTTAAGGGGAGTTTGCAAGTGGGCGTGTGTGGTCGATTGAGATCTAACCAGTCCAATAAATCAAGCACAACAATATCCCGATGGAAGAACCACAAACACAAGGGTCTCGACTGAAGCATTAAGGGTCATTGTTCTGGTTCTTGGATACATGTACATCTGACATGTCTAAACTAGGTTTTCAAATTCCCAATGGCTCCAGAACTCCTTAAAATGTTCCCAAAAGCTCCGTAAACACTGCATATAGTTACAAAGAACAAAGTTACCTAAAGCATTAATTTAAGTGCATGTAGACTAACGGTAACACTAAGAGTTACTTATGATTACAGAGTCATGTATCTCCACTGGAGCATTTACGAAAGGTTTTCCCAAGCAAAACACGAAGAAAGACATATATTCTCATTTCTAGACCCGGATGACAATAAGAATAGTTGGGTGGATTATCTCCTTGCTCGCACTAGGCTTGTAGTTGGCCAAGTTGGTAAGTTCTGGCTATTTGGTCGCATTTCGTTCGCTAGGCCTAATAGGAGACAAAACATGGCTTAAGATGGCGACCTCCCTGGAAACCTTAGAGGGTGCATCCACGTAAATAGGCCTGAAATATGTCCTCTGAGCTCATTAATGAAAGTTATACCCTCAAAATATTCTATATTAAAGGGTCCTGAGAGCCATGGAACTGGGGAATTGAAGAAATGTGGCACTGGACCCTCTGGCCCAGACTCTGGGCTTCAAATTCTGAGCAATTTGGATGCAATCGGTTCCGAAAGTGGCACTGTTTTAGCTGTTTTGCAGAGGGAAGCATTTTTAAAATGGCTACTTTTCCGGGCAGTGAAATTTCCTTCATTTTAGGGTGGTCTGGTTAAGGTGAGAAAATGTCAAAAATTAATTGGCCAACCCACTAAAATTGAAAGGAAAATGAAAGGGGACATGTGGAACATCATTTTTCCATTTATCCACTATATATAGTGGAGTAGACGAGGCACAAGATTATCCCGAATGTTCATCAAGTGACTTGCCATTCAGGTTCTATGATATTCAATTGGAAAATCCCGTTATACTTAAATTGGTATGATACCAGGAAATCATTTAATTTATTTTGTTGTTGTTGTTGCACATGATTTCTCGAAGGAAAAGGTCCCTCGAAGAAGCAAACTAAAACATGTTGCGTTAATATTTTTATTGTATCTTCTCAAGGCTGTTACTGGGCTTAGTAAGAAAATCTTCTGACCACATAGCCTGTCTCTTGTTATATATTTTCTGAATGCGTATAAGTACACAGTTTCAACTGAAATTGCAATTGAACTTATTACCAAAAGTCTAATCACTCAGAAAACACAAGCTTGATTTGGGGGCCTTTTTTTCATATATTTTGTTCTTCTATTTACACTGTGATGTCTTAAGATCTCAAGCCAATCATCAAATGCGTAATGTGGATCCTCTGTTTTAGTGCTGTTTAATGTTGTGAAATGTCCTAACCTCTACCAACAGACTGGAAGAAATGCACAGCCACCTTTACCTGCAGCGAGGATGCTGTCCAAGGGTACATGGAGCGCTACGCTATCTACAGCCGCCTTGGTCACAACCCAACGTGTGAGGACTTTGCCCGCATCCACAATGGTGGTCCTAATGGATTCAAGAACCCCGCCACGATTCCTTACTGGGACAAAGTCAAAAACTGCCTCGAGCGCAAGTAATTAAACAAAACATCGTCATTCGTTTATTTTCAGATGATAATAATCAAGCCTATTGCAAAAAGTCCCAGACGTTCTGAGTTTAGGATGAAATTATGTAATACACAAAAAATGAGAAAGTTACATCTCAATAATGGAAAATTCCAGTTCCCTTAATGTAGTGGGGTCATTTATAGATTTAATTAACAGCAGTTATCAGTTGGATTGATTTGCGAAAAATAATAGTCGAAAAATTTGTCGTGTGATATAAATGCTGCTTTTGCCAGGTAAAATGGTAGTAAGTTGAAATGTCTAAACAGAAATCACTCCTTAGCCATTAAGAGTTGTGAACCAATTGAAGTTTGAATCAAATTTGCTTTTTCGGTTAGGGCCTACAACTACCAAAAGAAACTGCACATCCGATCAAACCGAATGCTGGTTATTTATACGGGCCAGGGCGCGCTATCGATTAAAAGACATATCGCTTCTCTTGTGACGACGTCATCATGTATTACGTAAAACCGCCTGGGTAATGCGTTTTTCTTTCTACATGTATATCTCCAGAACTACAAGTGAAAATTGGGTATAATTCATGACAGTCATTTAGAAATCCTACAAAGTATTACCATTAGCCGTGTTATGTTGGCTCAAATGAGCATGCATATTTGTTGAAATGAAATATTTTCTGCTGTTTTCCTTTTTCTGTTTGTTGTGTTTCTTTGCTGTTTGTTACTCTGACACATTTTCGAAAGCGTACTCGGGTAGTCTTATATTTGGGCATACTGGTAATGTTTAAAGCAACTGGTGTGAAGGTACTTAAGGATAGATGTAGCCCACTACAACTATCATTGGATTTCCTTGCACTCCCTTGACTGGTTCCATTTGGTTTAATTCAAGCGCTTCCAACTTTGTTTTTTCCACTGGAATACACTAATGTTTGATGCGTCGATGGAGTAAAGGATTCTCTTGGAGGATATGCGAAATTACAAAAGTGTAATGAACTCTTGGAAGTCTATGGACTGAAGTTCTGTCAAGGGAAGCATTTGCAAAGTGAATGTTCCGTAAGGCAACATTTTAAACGGAATGCCCATTATGTAGCGACAATTTCTCTGAAATAAAAACAACACAGGATAAAGTGCGGAAGTACTCAGTGCAGGAACCATTGCGCACGGTGTGTGACTTATTGGCGATAATAAACACCACAAAATTAGTAAAGAAAGGAACGTTTTCACCCACGAAACTCCACCGTAAATTCGCCAAACACAACAGTGTCGAAGCTAGGTATGCAAGTAAATCAAAATACTTTATAATATTGGCATTTACAAGTTACATTATTCAAATCTATATTCTACTCTCTCAATAAGCCTTTTGCGAGTTACATTTGAATAAAATCTGGTACACTGAGTTCTTTAAATTCACGTGAACATAACAATTGGGTTCTCCATACTATAAATTACCGTTGCTGTGTGGGTCGTGACTCGGGTTAAGGAAGCCTTTGCTTAGTTCAATATAAGAGACGCCTTGCAAAAATACACTGTTCTCAATGGATAAGGAGGGCCAAAAAAAGGAACCAGTCTATTCCAGAGATGGTGGTCGCTTTGCAAAAGCTTACCCCGAATTACGAGGTATAGCAACAGTGTCTTTAGTCTGGGGAATTCAAATTGTTAAGTTATGTGCAATCAGTTAACTCAGTGCACAAGATTTTATTCAAATTTAACCCGCAAAAGACTAAAGTGGAAGCCAATAAATGAATTTTAGTGACATAGCTTACACCATGTGGCAGGACACTGAATTTTCAAAAACACTGATTTGAAAGCAACACTAAAATTCACAAATACTGCTTACTATGCTAGGAGTATGTTATGAGTGAACGTAAGGTTACCGTGAAAAAACTACTTATTATTTATTGGGAAGGACTGAAACAACTTCTATTTTATCCATGGTAAGTATATATAGTGCCCTCAATTGACAACCAAAACTACAAGTGTTACGAAATGACAATGTTTACGGTGTTAGGTAGAGTGGGAGCACTCATTTTCTGACGTTATTATACGTTCATGACTCTGTTTAGGCAAATACATTTCATCATAATAATTAATTTATCAATAATTAATTATGAAACATAGTATAAAAGGAAAGTGACTAGGTGCTTATAAATGATTACAAACTAAGATCAACAAAAAAATAACTGGAGTGGGATTTGAACCTTCGGCCTCCGGAATACCGGTGCTCTACCAACTGAGCTAACCAGCCCTATGTTGGTGGCTCTTCCCATTTGTCAATACTTTTGTTCGGGGGACCCGAAACACCATGTAGCCAGGGATCACGCCCCAATAACACGATATAACCTGGGAAGTGGTGAACAGGGATCATTCAGAGAGGATACGGCTTTTTGAATACAAATCATGAAACAAATTATGGAGGGAAACCGACTAAGTGCCTATAAAGGACTAAAAAGATGAACAAAGAAATTGACCGGAGCGGGATTTGAACCTGCGGCCTCCGGAATACGGTACCAGTGTTCTACCAACTGTTGGGGCGTGATCCCTGGCTACATGGTGTGTCAAGCTTAATGGCTTCTGGCCGGCGCCCCCAACAGAGGTATTGATGACAATGGGAAGAGCCATCAATATAAGGCTGGGTAGCTCAGTTGGTAGAGTACTGGTTTCTTTTTTCAATTTCTTTGTTCATCTTTGGAATGGTTTTCGAAAAATACCTATTCAAGGAATCAATTCTAAATGGTACTTAGAAATTATTAGTTACATTGAAACATTTTGTTAGAATATCGCTTGTTGCAGACATTTGTAGATCATTTGTTTTTTTCTTTACAAATGTTTCCATTTTTGAGAGATCAATTTTGAGGGGACATGGAAAACTCGATGTCATAACATTGTTGACTGCACTGTGATAAGCGGTCCAAGGATGTCTCAGTTTAGTACACGGCAGAGATTAATCTATGAAGTCGAATTAAAGAAATTCTGGGTCAAACAAAGGGAAACAAAAACCTACTTCGGACACGAGATACGACCAATCCATACTGTGCGCCCCCAAGAGGTTACCAGGGCGAGGTTTTTCGCAGTTTATTTTAATCAATGGTAGACAAATTCTATTCGCCGGCGGCGCGTACCCCGTAAGAACTCGAATTATTCTGTGAAGATTTATTATTCGAGTAGCAGTTTTAATTAATCCTTTCTTCTTTCTATTGCATGGAATGTCCCCATCTGTCAGAAAAATGGCCCAAAGTTGTCTATTGACATACGCTCCAAGAAATTTGCGGCCGGGCGGCCGTGCTAATATCGATGGTAAACTTTGAAAATGGTGTCTCCGTGGCAACCTCTTGGTGGCGCGAATCGTCCCCACAGAGAATTCTGGTAATCTTGGTAACGACATAACTAGTTATTTGCAGTGGCCCCCTTTATTGGCGGTAAGCATTGTGGCAGCTATTGTACGGAGCCACTGTTTTGTGACGGTATCTCTGCACAAAAGAAGCACAATCCTATAACGCCATTCAAGGGGGCCATCCGGAGTGTCCAGTGAAACGTCAGTAGATTTGTCAATCCGCCTCAAGCAGAAGCACCCTGCATCGGTTGAAAAGAGTCAAATATGTCGGGAGCGTCATTTTGTTTGTACCGATGCGTGCGTAACGCATGCATTTCATAGTGACTGTCCTTTGTGAATCAGCGAAGTTCAGCTCCGACCAAAGGAGCTAAGAAAGCGCGCCCTCTCTGTCCAGCTCGAGGCTCATAAGGGCTGTGAAGATAAGACAACTGCATTAAGGCACAGCGGATTAAATCACCCCGGGTGAAACTTGCAATTCCTAAATTTCTGCTATTTGCTTCTAATGCAATATTGAACATGTTCTAGTTTCAAATGGTACATCAGATTGCCATGTGCATCGGCATTTTGGACGTCGTGTTTTCGTCACGCCCGTCAGCTGCGGCGTTTTTCAAAAATATTTCGTTCAAATTGAAAATTTATTCTTGACTTAATATATTCGTTAAAGGCTGACATAGAAGAATTAGCGATGTTAATTTGCTTTGCCTTCGTCCCGGGCATTTTCAGCATGCATTCTCCCGAATATTCAAGACCAACCCAATCGAATACATATTTATTCCCTTATCAAAAGACATTCACTATATGTTCTGAACGCTGTTCCAGTCTCACCTTGGTTGCTCTTCCCTGACTTACATATTCACTGTGTACAGAGTCACGTTTGCTTCACCCAGCACTATAAAGGAATTGGTTTCGTATAGACGCAGAAAATGTAATATCTGACACAAAGGTAGGTCTTTAGGGCAGTGTGGCTCTGAACCAGTGTTCCTTGGGGTCATACCGGTCAAGACAACTTTTCTATCTGGTGCGTCCAAGGGGCAGTAATAATTAGTAGGGTGCAACGCGCCGCTGATGTATGAGTTCAGGTAAACCTAGATCCAGGTCTAATGAAACTGCGTAAGCCGGTTGAAAAGCACTAACTAGGGCACTAGGTCGGCCACTTCTCTAACTCGAACGGCTACATCATTGATCACCATGAGGAAAAGACTGGCTGCTCCTTCTCGCTAATTGCTGCTCCGCTGACCCTCTACTATCCTGTGTTGGCTTTGTGATTCCAGTGGCGGTGACACTTAGGCTTAAAGTAGTGATTTCCCGTGCTTATTGACGCCAGCGAGGCACGAACCTCATTGCGCATGTCTTTGACTTAATCCAGAGGCCAGTTGCATAAATTAGTGCAGTGAACTTGGGAAGGGGGGGGGGTTGTGAGGGGACGACTAGCCCAGCCATGGCAATTAGTTTGAAAAGGGGAGGGGGGTTCTGACTTCATACGACACTAGGGGGCGATGTTCATGATACAGATTACTGGTGTGTGTTGTACTCCTGCAGAAATTTACACCAAAAGGCATATTTATGGCTTTGTTTTCCCTTTTCGAGTGCTATTGAAAACATTTTGGTTGTTGGGAAGTCCGAGAATTCTTTACAATTAGGCTTAGTTTTTCTAACCGTGCAAAAGTTGGGGGACAGCCCATCAATAGCCCATCCCCTCAGTCAAATGTGGGAAAATGTATACCCCTATCCCCCCGAGATTTACACAAGAGACAATAATTTAGACCAGAGACAATAACCTCGATCTCTTCTTGTTGAAGTACACTTCCAACCTCTTGTTTCAACCCTAAAAGAGTAGTAACTTTTCCGATATCCCCACATTGCATTTCCTTCAGGAGTTAAGCCTTAAGGAGTTTTTAGAGTAACTTTTGCTGCATGTAAGCATGCCAAGTTTTAAAACAATCAGGGCTGGCACAGCCGAGGTCGGGGGGTGGAATGCGCTCCCCGATTGTGAGATGGTCCCAATAAACCGGCTCTTTGAGAGTTAATTAAGGCGGCTCTTCATATTGCAGATAAAATTTCAACAGATTTACTGCAGTAAAGAAAGGTATGCATCGGTTCCCTGGTAAAATAAGTTATATATGCAGTTAGCACAGGCCTATGGCGATAGTTGAATGCCACTCTTGTAAATCATCCAGGTGGCTTTGTACGCCATTGTACCAGAAAAAGATAAACTTCGATTTCTAAAAAAAAAAGCCAGCTTACAGCAATTTCGCATTGATTGAAAAAAGTGACTCTGCAACACATATTACTTGTATATTGATTAAATTAAGGAAAATCACTTGGAAAAAAAACAATCTGTGTGTCTTTATATATAGCAAAGCCCAATTCCCACAATAAAGCTATTGCTGAGTGGTTTTGTTTGAGGATCGCCTTGTACACCGGGGAGATACAATAAACGTATACCAGTACTGTGAAGTGCGCCCTCAGTCCTCTTTAAACATTTAACAGGCGAAACATGACATTGCGTTTGCACATTTTTTTTCAAAAATATTAATTTATGAATTAATGATAAAAATATAGTTGGGCACATTCCTGTGTTTTACCCATCACGGAATTTTTCCAATTTTATTGGAACCTGTGCTTTCATGAAACTTCGGCGTCTCTTGTTCATCTTGACTGTAACATGAAATGTGGATTCCGAGTTAGGTTGGCCTTAAATCGTGGTCCGACGAATAGGCCCAAGAAAAACTCATTTTTTAATGAAAGAGCCCCGAACCAATTCTTAATTCTATGGCAATAGATGTCAGAAAAAACGAAACCTGAATTTATTCATAAATG